CAACCTCGGCTCCACGTTGGAATCATCTTGGGGAACTTTAAATGTTCATTTATTTTTGAGAGAGAAAGAGACAGACAGAGCACGAGCAGGGGAGGGGCCGAGAGAGAGGGAGACACAGAATCCGAAGCAGGCTCCAGGCTCTGAGCCGTCAGCACAGAGCCCAACATGGGGCTTGAACTCAGAAGCCGTGAGATCATGACCTGAGCTAAAGCCGGGCGTTCAACCAGCTGAGCCACCCAGCACCCCCATTTTGGGTAACTTTAAAAAATACTTTGTCCAGGTAAAACCCCCAGAGATTCTGACATAATTGGTATGGGAAGCACCCTGGGCATTGCTATTTTGTGCTCTCTCACTGCATCCTTGAGATGTGGTGAGCTTAGGGTCCTCCTACTCTGCCATCTTTCCCTGGGCATTGGTATTTTAAAAACTGCCCAGGCAATTCTAATGGGTAGCCAAGGTTGAGACCACTACTGCTCTAATAGGACAATGGCTCCGGGGGCAGTCCATTTCTACCACATATTTCCTTTCTGCCTGCCTCAGCACCTCCTTTCCATCCTGATTTGTGCCTCATTTAGTCTGCACAAGCTATGTATCCCAGGAGTCTGTCCATGCAGAATGGTGCAGCCTAGGAATTTTGGTGTCACTCAAAAATTGGGACTCAGGGATGCTTTCTAACTTATGACCTTAGTCACGGGGGAACTAGGTGAGCACTTCTAAACTTTTGTCCTAATCTGTAAAAGGGGGGTAATAATAGCACCTATGTAAGGAATGTTTTGAAATTTAGATGAGAAGATATGCATAAAGCACATAGTAGACACTCATAATTATTGTTGTGGTTGTCACTGTCATCATCACTGTTGCTGTTACCAATGTAAATGGACATTTCATAATGGGCCAGTCTGTTGATGGTCCTCTCCCAACCAGAGAAAGACCTTTTTTTTATGGAGGGAGCGGGCTACTGTATTCAACAAACCAACAAACATTTCTTGTGCACCTGTTTTGGGTAGACAGCTAGGATTTGGGGATGCAGCTGAAGGCCTAGAATAGAGATATTGACGTGGGTTAAGGTGAACCAGCACACAAACACCTTACAGGAACCGTGAGTCCAAATGAGGTCTGGAGGGGGTTGGGCTGAAATCCAGGAAGTGTCAGGAAAGGGTAGCATTTAAGCTGGGCTTTAATGATAAGTAGAACTTCAGTTGGAAGAAGATGTGGGGAAGGGTATTTAAGGCCCAAGGAACAGCATGGGGAAAGGCCTAGTGGTAAGGGCAAGCCTGGTAAAGAGAGGGAAAGAGGCATATTTGGGGACCAGCAAGAGTTCTTGTATAGCTCTTGGCATCAGACGTGAGGACAGATATCTGTAGTAGAAGATGCTCCATTGGGTACCAGAAGGTGAGGCTGACAGGTAGGTTGGAGCGGACTAAAAGAAACGGTCAGACGCCACACCCCAAGATGGGGCTTCCAGTCTGAGACGGCTGCCATCCCTCAGCCCAACCAGGTGGTGTTCACTCTGCGTGGCCCTTCCCCGGACTGTGGACACTGTAGCTACTGCCATCTACTTACGTCAAAAGAATATCACCATAGTGGACTTCTGAGATCTTTTTGGCTGGCTGGAATTTATGTCTTTCTTCCTCTTTCAGTTGTTGAAGGTACTGTTGCTTCTTTTTCAAGGCACTCTCCTCCTGCAACATGCTAAAGTAGCTGCGGCCTGTCTTCACCGACCGAATCAACATGCTGGAGATGGGGGATGGGAGGAAGAGGGAGGGAGAGACATCAACAGAGTTGAACCAACCATTAAGATGATGCTGTATTGTCCTGGGACTAAGCATCTCTGAAGGGCACTCTCCTACCTGCAGGGCAGGAACCTTCTTGCATTTGGCACTCCGGGGTCAGATGGACCTGACCTTGAGTATTTAACCTCTCTGGTCTCAGTTCCTTCCTCACTCCACAATTCAACAAATATTTATTGAGCACCTACTGTGTGCCAGGTACTCTGTTAGGTGCTATGAAATGGGCATAATAATCTGCACCCTACAGGATCAGATACCTTCATGCATGGAAAGGGGCTTGTCCATGATAATCAGTAGCAGATCAGTACTGTAAGGCCCAGGCCCCTTGGCCAAGGCTGCCTTCTCTCAGATTTGCCTAAGTGCTCACCTTTGCTTCACATTTTCCTAGGGCTGCAGAAGTGGAGTGAATAAGGTCAACGGGGGCTTGTTGTGTTAGATGACATAAGTTGAGACTTCATGATTCTTTTCTTGCTGACTCAGCCACTGGTTTCTGATCAGACGTCTTGATACTGGCCAAGACATTCTGCGCCTGATGGTCCACACAACTCCCCGACTTTGCCATTTGTCACCTTGGGGTTGGAACTCGGCAGCACTGTACTGGAGAAGGAGTGGACACATCTCTCGGCCTGTCCCCCTGTCTTCTGACTCTCTGGGAAGTTGTCAGGCACCATGTTGAACCACCGCCATGTTTCCCCAGGCATGAAGATTGGTTCTGAGATTCAGTTTTATTCTTAAAATCCCTGTTGAACAACCAATGTGTACTAGGGATTGTGCTGACCATTGGGGATACAGTGATGAACAGGACCCTGGGTCTCTAAGAGTACATGGAAAGTCAGTGATGACGGAGAAAGATGGCAGTGGGAAGGACTCTGAGCTTTTTAGGAAGAGGGCACCGAATTCAGACCAGGGGGTAGTTGGAGACATCTTCTGGATGAAGTGACATCTCCTTTCCTTTTTGCTGAGTACCTCTTTGCCTCTCCTGTCTTTCCCTTGCTCTCAGTTTTGGATGGGAATATTCTCAGCAAGCTATCATGGTTAGATTCTGATGTGACCAATTAATCCTTGTTCCTTTTCTAGGAAGAGTTAAGGTATTACTGGGGCATTTTCTTTTCAGCAGTGGACTCTTGTATTGTCCATTGGGAAAATGCTGGGAGGCAGGAGGTGGGGCTTTTCCAGTATTTTTCAAATTGCATCTCACAGTGATAACTTTTCATTCATTTATTTCTCTGGTGGGCATTGCCTGAAAACCTGCTAGTCTAGACACCTGTGAGGAGACTGAAGTTACAGAAAGCAATAAGACAAGGCATCTGCTCCCAGAGAGTTCATAGTATCATAGAGGAAGCACACCCAGAAACATACACTCTGAACACTCCAGTGCAAAGAGCTACAGGAACCTAGAGAAATCTAAGAAGGCTTCCTGGAGGAAGTGACATTTGGGATAAGTAGGAATTTACCAGTAGGAAACATGGGAACTGGCATACGAATGGATGGAATAGCAGTTGTAAATGTAAAGAGGTGTGTTAGGGACTAAATATTTATGTCCCCTTCAAATTTACGTGTTGAAATCCTACCCCCCACCCCAGCATGATAGTATCAGAAGGTAGGGTTTGGGGAGGTAATTAGGATTAAATGAGGTCATAAGGGAGGAGCCCTCATGAAAGGGATTCTTAGTGTCCTTGTTAGAGTCACGGGAAAGCTTGCTTCCTCTCTCTACTGCCCACCCTGTGAGGATACAATAAGAAGCCAGCAGCCTACAACCCGGAAGAGGATCCTCGCCAGAACCTGACCATGTGTGCACTTGATCTCAGACTTCCAGCCTCCAGAACTGTGGGAAATAAATTTCTGTTGTTTACAAGCCACTTAGCCTATGGTAGTTTGTTATAGCAGCTGGAATGGAGTAGGACAGGTGAGTCTGAAGATGGCCTGTTTAGGAAAGTACAAGAATCTTTAAAAAGCTGGAGCACAGAAGGAATGTGGGAGAGTGGCCAGAGCTAAAGCTGGCAACACTGGCAGGGAACAGGTGGTGCAGGGCCTTGGGGTCTGGACGGAAGTGAGCCCCGATCTGGGAGTTGCTAGAAATAGAACTTTTAGAAATGCTTCAGGAATCTGCAAATGTTTGAGTTTTCATGAACAGTTTTCTAAGCTAATAACAATACAAAACCCACAGAACATCCTGTTATACACCAGATCAATTTCATTTATACAAGCGTTTCCTGCCATTTCTCTTGCATTGACCAGTTGTCCAGTGCACAACTTTTCACATCTCAGCGTGTTTGTGGGTGTGTCTGCCAGTCACTGCCAGCCAGATGGCAGTTGTATTGTGTTTGTTATCACCTACACACTCAAACTTGGTTGTTACTCCTAACAGCCTGATCGTACAACAGCCCCCTGAATGTTTTAGATCACAAAACCACTGGATCATGAGCTGTAGTCTGAAACATCCTTCTTCTTTCTTTCTTTCCTTTCCTTTCCTTTCCTTTCCTTTCCTTTCCTTTCCTTTCCTTTCTTTCCTTTTCTTTCTTTCTTTCTTTCTTTCTTTCTTTCTTTCTTTCTTTCTTTCTTTCTTCTTTCTTTCTTTCTTTCTTTCTTTCTTTCTTTCTTTCTTTCTTTTTCTTTCTTTCTTTCCTTTCTTGACATTTCCTTATAATCAAGACAGTGCCAATATCAAAATTTGCAGACTGGGAGTCGGCAGCTAGGAAGAGACTCTTGGAGACAATAGCAAAGCATCCTTTTAAGAAATGCTGCATCCAGAATGGTTGACTTGGAGTGGAACCGTGTGATTCAGAAGAGCTGGGCTCTAAATGTGAAGACGTTTGACGAAAACCTTAAGCAATGTATTTTCTCTTATAGTTTCCCCTTTTATGCAAACAGAGAGCAATCTATAAAAAATTGTCTAGGACAGTTAAGAAGAGCTTTTAAAAATTAGGACACCCTATTTTTAGGAAATAAAAATTCTAAAGGATAAGCAAGCATTGTCTTAATTTAATTGACAGTGTTTTTATTTCACTCTGTTTTAAGCGATGTGTCTTAGCTTCAATGGCAGCTGAGACGAAATAATGGTATTTGAGTTTCTTATAAATATGTCAGTGTCAGGTCATCAGTGATCTTCTTCTGAACTTAGACCCTGCTTCTTAGCTCCTGTCAACTCTTCTGAGTGTCTACACTACATGTCACATGTCCAACCCAGCCAGCCGATTGCAGGCAGGGATCGGGCATTATCTGCCCAGTTCATATTCTTGTCACAGCAAAATGATCTCTCAGTTTCCCCTTAGTCAAAATTTCCCAAAGTGAAACCACATTACAGATAAATTTGGCCCTGAATTGTCAGTTCTAGATGCTTTTGCCAGGCTTTTATTTATTTACTTACTTTAAAAAATACTTTTTAATGTTTGTTTACTTTTGAGAGAGTGAGGAAGCAGGGGAGGGGCAGAGAGAGGGGGACAGGGGATCCGAAGCAGGCTCCGTGCTGACAACAGAGAGCCCGATGCGGGGCTTCGAACTCACAAACGGTGAGGTCCTGACTTGAGCCAAATGCTTAACCAACTGAGCCACCTAGAAGTCTGCCCCACCTGGCTTTTATTTTTAAGTGTAGGAATGCGAGCTGGTTGATAGGATGTGGAATTCGTGTTTGAAACAACAGAGTGCTTCTGTTTTGCTTTCGAGCTTCTCTGAATCCACTCATCAAAGAGTGTCCTCAGGTTGCAAGATTACCCGGTGAAGAGAAAACTGTTACCATTGGCAACCCCTTAATTTCACAAATGACGGTTTTCTTGCTGTAGCACAAACAACAAATGCAGAGCTGACCTGGGGACTGAGGCTCATGTGACAGCAACCGCTGTTGTGTTACTTCTCAGAGACCCCTCGCGCAAAATTTGGTTCGGAGGTTGAAACTGACCCCACAGATGCACCAAAACTGTGTTGAAGCGACTTAATACTCATGTGATGAGGCTTTCTGGGCAGAGCAGGAAAGGCTCCCAAACAGGTCTGAAATCATGGAAGGTTGACTGCTTAGGGTTCTGTCATGGTCAGGGAGTGGGGCTGGGGTGAGCGGTCCCTGGTCTGTGGCTTGAGCTTCCCTCTGGCACCTGGACTTTCTTATTAGCTTGCCCAGACGTGGACAGAAGAGCAAGAAGTGGGGGGCGCTTGAAAGCTGTCAACTTGTCACGCGTCAAAAATGGAGTCAGATTCCTTATTGCATTCATTCACACCCAACTCACTGCATCATTATCAACCATTCGACAAAAATGTATCGAGTGCTTTGCCGGGTGCCTGCCAGGCTCTGTTCTAGGTGCTGAGATAACAGCAGCAAACAAAAGAGCCACAAAATTCCTGCCCTCATGAAGCTCATATTCCAGGGGGAGTGGAGACAGACAAGCACAACGAAGTAAACTGTAGGCAGTATGCTAAGTGCTGTGGAGGAACATAAAGTAGGGGCATGAGGAGAGTGACTGCCAGGGGTGGGGAGGTTTGATCCACGAAAGGTTTTGCTGAGAAGGTGTCATGCCAGTTTCTGGGGGAAGAGTGTTTCAAGTAAAGGGAATATAGCATATGCAAAGGCCCTGGGCAAGTCCAGTTAGATTAAGAAAGTTTAATTTTCATTGGATAAAATGTGATATTGCACCATCCATGTGTGCTACTGGTATATTGTATTTGCTTTAAGTTAAAAAAAATTTTTTTTAATTTATTTTTGAGAGGGGGGGGGTGGAAGGGGCAGAGAGAGAGAGGAAGACACAAGCTCCGAAGCAGGCTCCAGGCTCTGAGCTGGCAGCACAGAGCCTAGTGTGGGGCTCAAACTCACGGACCTTGAGATCACGACCTGAGCTGAAGTCGGACGCTTAACCGACTAAGCCACCCAGGCGCCCCTGTATTTGCTTTAGATATTGGTGTTCTCTTTAAGATTTATGGCAGAATGGTCTTGCTCTAAAAAAAGGAAGGAAGGAAAGA